ATTATTTTTAAAAAAGTCTGCATCAAAAACAATTTGAAAATGAAAAGATAGGTTACAACAATATAGGCCAACCTCAAGAAACAAGTTGTATCTAAGTGAGGAATCACTGAATTCTACTCTAGAAACCAATATTGCACTATATGCTAACTAACAAAATTCAAATTAAAAAAAAAGAAACAAGTAAAATCTCAAGTAAACAACCTAACTTTATACCTAAAGTATCTAGAAAAAGAACTAATAAAACTCAAAGCTGGTATAAGGAAGGAAATAATAAAAATTAGAGCAGAAATAAATGAAATAGAGACTTAAAAAAACAAAGAACAGATCAATGAAATCAGGAACTGCTTTTTGAAAAGATAAACACAATTGCTAAACCTTTAGTTCATTAAGAAAAAGAGAGAGAACTCAAAATAAAAAATGAAGAAACAACAACCAACACCATAAGGAAAAAAATGAAAAGATAGGACACATATATACACTCGTGCACACACACAAAGGAATATTACTCAACCATCATAAATAATGAAATCTTGCCATTTGCAACCACTTGAATAGACCTAGAGGATATTATACTAAGGAAAATAAGTCAGTCAGAGAAAGACAAATACCATATGACTTCACTTGTATGTGGAATTTAAGAAACAAAATAAAACAACAAACAAACAAAAAACAGAGGGGGGGAAAAGAGAGGAAAACCAAGAAACAGACTCTTAACTATAGAGTACAAACTGATGGTTAGCAGAGGGGAGGTGGGTGTGGGGATGAGTTAAATAGGTGATGGGGAATTAAGAAATGCACTTGTTGTGATGAGCACTGGGTATTGTATATAAGTGTTGAATCACTAAATTCTACACTTGAATTGAATATTTCATTGAATGTTAACTAACTGTAATTTAAATAAAAACTTGGAAGAAAAAAATAAACTTTGGAAAAAACAGAAATTTTATCAAATAAGATTTATAATTGGCAGCTAACCTCATGAAAAATTGTTTCTCTTTTTAAGTAATCACATTGAAAACTGAAGTCACAATAAGATACTCCCTCACACCCACTGAAATAGATAAAATTTAAGAGAATGACAATGTCCAAGTTTAGTGATATATGAAAATATCATACAGCACTGTCTGAGAGTGTAAAAATCTTCCAAATCTTTTATACAGAATAACATGGATGAATTCTAATATCATTATGATGAGTGGAAGGAGCTAGGCACACACTGTGTGATTCCATTTATATTAATTTCAAAAACAGACAAAATTCATCTATTATAGAAATTAGAACACTGTTTCCTATGTGAATTACATGTGGCTGGAAGGAGGTAGTAGGGGAGGTTCTCAAGTAAGAAAAAGATTCTAATTCCTGAATATGGTAGTAGTTACATGGGTATACACTTAGGAAAACTCAATGAATTATATAGTTGAGATCTACGCATTTACCTATGGAAATGTTAGCTGTGTAAGGATATAAATATTAAAAAAGGTTTCAATACTGATATGAATTGATCTGCTAGAAATAGTAAAATATTTTTATTTATTTATTTATTTATTTATTTATTTTATTATGTTATGTTAGTCACCATACAATACATCATTAGTTTTTGATGTGGTGATCCACGAGTCATTGTTTTCGTATAACACTCAGTGCTCCATGCAGTGCATGCCCTCCTTAATACCCATCACCAGGCTAACCCATCCCCCCACCCCCATCCCCTCTAGAACCCTCAGTTTGTTTCCCAGAGTTCATAGTCTCTCATGGTTCATCTCTCCCTCTGATCTCCCCCCCTTCATTTTTCCCTTCCTTCCCCTAATGTCCTCCATGCTATTCCTTATGTTCCACAAATAAGTAAAACCATATGATAATTGCCTGTCTCTGCTTGACTTATTTCACTTAGCATAATCTCCTCCAGTCCCATCCATGTTGATGTAAAAGTTGGGTATTCATCCTTTCTGATGGCTGAGTAATATTCCATTGTATATATGGACCACATCTTCTTTATCCTATTTTTTAAAAATATTTTATTTGTTTATTTTTGTGAAAGACAGCACAGAAGCAGGGGGAGCAGCAGAGGCAGGGGAAAGCAGGCTCCCTGCTGAGCAAGGAGGCCAATGCAGGACTTGATCCCAGGACTCTGGGATCATGACCTGAGCTAAAGGCAGATGCTTGACCAACTGAGCCACCCAGGTGTCCCTAGAAATAGTAAAATATTTATAGAGTACAAAAATATAGAAAACTAAGTTATAGAACATTACAAAAGTGTGTGTGTGTGTGTGTGTGTGTGTGTGTGTGTGTGTGAGAGAGAGAGAGAGCAGAAACAAGAAGCTTTAACACTAGTTTTCTCCAAAAAGGGAAAATTAGGTAGTTATAAAGGACAGAATTGAGCTGAATTACCTTTCACTGAATATCCTCCTGTAAATTTTGAATTTTGTAACATATATTATTTGTAACAAATATATAATTTTTAAAATGATTCTGGGAAAAAAGAAGTTTCCTAATTTCTCTAAGTTATTTGAAAATAACTTATAATTAACATGAAGTAAATTTGGCAAACTGTTGATAATGGTAGAACCTGGTTTCCTGGTGTCTACAAGTTTACTGTTCTTTTCTCTTTATACTCTGCATGTTTATCTGTTCATAATGAGAAGTTTTATAAAAGTTACAATAGTGCAAATCTTTCACTACCAAAAACAAGTGAAAATAAGTGGATTATACATGTTTAGAATTTATTTTAAAAACACAAAACACTACAGAAAAAAAATATAAATAAATTAGAACATCATAAAAAAAGACTGATAAGTTATACCAAAAAGCTGATTGAGGGAGAAGAAAAGGAAGAGCTAATGTTGCTAAAGATCCATGAGTCAGACTTAATTAAAATAAAGAAAAAAAAAAGCAGGGCAAAACAACTAAAACTGGAATGAAAAGGAATATCAATTGAAATGAGAAATTAATAGCGTGATGAAAGAACATTTTGCACAACTTCATGTTACTATGTTGGAAAATCTGCTTGGATTGTGATTTTCTAGAAGAAAACAAGTTAAATATAAGATGCAAAACAAAAAATAAGGAATCACCATAGAAAAAAGTGAGAAGGGCGCCTGGGTGGCTCAGTTGGTTAAGCCACTGCCTTCGGCTCAGGTCATGATCCTGGAGTCCCGGGATCGAGTCCCGCATCGGGCTCCCCACTCAGCAGGGAGTCTGCTTCTCCCTCTGACCCTCCCCCTTCTCATGCTCTCTCTCTCTCTCTCTCATTCTCTCTCTCAAGTAAATAAATAAATAAAATCTTTAAAAAAAAGAAAAAAGTGAGAAAATTTTCTAGATAGCCTCAGTTCTACTTCAAACCACAAAAAACAAAGGAGAGTTCTGATGATTTAATTGATATGTTAACTTAACCTTTCATATTAATGCTAAAGCTTTTCAACCCATTTTATAGAATAGAGTAAAAAAGAAAATCCTCAAAATTAATTTAATGCAACCAGAGCATCTGAAATCAAAATATGACAAATATAGAAAAGAAAATTACAGATCAACTTCATTTAATAGTATACTTGCCAAAAGTCCAAATCAAATTAAGATACTCATAATTTAGTAGTAAATTCAGAGCAAAACTTTTTTTATACCAAATAGGGTTTGTCCATTCAAGGAAAAAAAGAAAATTTCAATAATAGAATTATTTCACAATAATAAAAGTTTGAAGAATTATACAACTGTTTATGCAAAAAGCATTTATTACATCTACCACCTGGTTCTGATTAAAATTTCTTACAAATATATATAAGGTGGGAGACTTACTTAATATGATACACAAAAACATCTCAAATTTAAAATTCACCTATTTCATTGATGATTGAGACCACCTAAAACAAAATAACTTACCTACTGGGACTAGGACCTGATACCATCCCTAGCAGAGTCCTGTACACCAGATAGAACTGCAAACAAATAAATACATTCACAATTTCTCATCTAAGCTAATAGCTCTTCTATCATTGAAAAACATGTTACTCACAAAGGCAAACAGCTAATTTATCAAACAAAAATTTGATTATCTAGACTCACATCATGTTACTCTTTTGCCAACCTTATACTACTGCCTGACAAATTTTGTCCATTCTTAACCCGTTCTATTTTTTGAAAAGCCCATCTTAAATCACATCAGCCCAGACCCCAAAGCCTACTTAGAGAACACTATTAAACATTGTCAAAATGGTGTTTTCCCTTGCTGCGGTAAGTTTAACACACTCAGCTTTTCTTGATTATAGTTTTTTTTTTTTTTCTTGGAGTCTTTTTGGGTAATAGACCAGCAACAATGTACTGGTCAAACCCAAGAAACATTCCATTAAAAACTGATTAAATCAAGATGGGTAATAGTTCCACATTTAAGTGCTCTGAAAGTACGAGTCAGTGAACACTATCAATATAATTAAATCAAGATCATTTGGAAGGAACGAATCAAAATGATTGGTATTTTCAAAAGTTTTGGTATGTATGTACTTAGACAAAATCTGAAAAGTCATGAGAAAGAGTAAGGTGAACACCTACCCCCCAAAACAAAACTTTCAGATGTAGAAAAAATATCAAGGGAGAAAATAAACTGAAAGAAAAACCTCTATCACAAAGTGAAAATATTAACAATAATTAAAATTGTTTAATAAAAAGAAAGACATACCTTGTTCTTGGATAGGAAGACTTATAGTATTAAAAACCAAATTCTCCCCTAAATTAATTTATTAAAGTTGATGAAATTGCAGTCTAAACTGTAATTTCTTCCAACGAGTAGACACATGAGACAGGAGGCAGAAGAAGAGACACACAGACCCACAGAACAAAAATGGTGCCAGTCACAGATGAGAATACAGCACATGTGCAAGATGACATTACAGATAAATGGGCAATTATTGGCAAATAATCGCAAGTAATGGCAAATAACTTGGCAACTTTAAGATTTCAAATAAAAAAAAATTTCTCATGATTTAAATTTGAATAAAAGAAAGACAAAAGAATAAAAGTTAACATAGGTGACGGTTTTATGGAATCAGTATAAATATTTTTTTCCAAAATGACATGAAACTCAGAAGCCGTAAAAGCAAACATGGTTATACTTGGACATATAACAATCATACACATTCTTATAACAAAAATGAAGTTTAAAAGTGCATAAAAAATATCTGTAAAGCTTGACAATCCAAACCTTTTTTCCCCAATAATAAATGAGCTCTTCAAAATCAGAAGACTAAGCCCCAACCCCCGAAATTGGACAGAAAGAGGAAATTAAAGAATACAGATGGCTAATATGAAAAAAATGATCAAACTCAAAAGCAAAAGAAATACAATTTAAGACAATAGTTTGGGCTATCACATTTGCTAAAAATGTAAATATTTATAAAATCCATTATCTGTGAAGTTGTGGGAAAGCTGGCAATCTCATTCATTGCCATTTGAAGATAAAGTTGTTACCACATTTTAAGGAAATCTTGTAATAATTTGAAATGTGCATATCCTTAATCCCAGTATTTCAACTGCTAAGTAATTTATAATGATATAATAGACAAATGCAAAATTGTTGATAGGGAGGTTCATTGCACAGAAATTTTGTGCTAACAAATATCTATGGATGAGAAATGCTTATAACATTTAATTGTATTTCATCTACAAAACAGTCGTGCAGTCATTCAACAAATGACACAGATGTATATTATTGAAATAGAAAAGGGTATTAAAAACTGTAAAATGAAAGGCAATTTGCAGAAGAATGTGTACAATATGGCCCCACTTCCAGAACCCCCCCAAAATAGTTCGTGTGTATGTGTGTCTGTGTGTGTGCATCTATCCACTTAAAGAATGCACACAACTCTCTTAAGAGAAGAAAACACTGGGGGAGAGAATTGGGAGAGAGGAGGGCACTTAATTTATATATTAGATATTTAAATACGCTTTGAATTTTTGAAAAAAACTGTGCAGTTTCGTTTTAATATATCCTATTTAAAATTTTTACCATATGGCAAATGGAAATTATAAATGTATATTTATGGGAGCACTGAGCAATTCCACCATTTTGAGTTTCTTGTGCAATAATATATCCTCTACTGAGGCTCCTGGGATTGAGTCAAGTGGCAGCAAGGGAAACAGTCACCATGCCCAAATTAAAGTCTCATCGATGATATCCCAACATGAGCATTTCTCAGTTAAGCATTTCTTATCTGCGGGAGGTGTCCACTGCAACACAGGAAAGAGAGGAATCGCCAAGCATAAAGAAGAGTGTGTCATTGTTTTGGTGAAGCTGGTGGTAGAAGTAATGGCACCCTCAGTAACAAATCCACCTCACATTTGTGGTCACCACCTGCAAGGATACAGACGGGAATATTGGCAAAGGTGAGTGACACATTGTCTAAGGAGCCCATTGCGGGCTATGAAATTCTTATATACTCTACCTCTACATGTGCCATGTATGAATCTACACAGAGGACACAAAGAAAGCCACATTTTCAGCTGCTGCATTCACCCTGTGGCCAGAAAAATGACTTTAAATCTTCCTAAATCAACATCAGTGCTACTTTTTCTTCTTTGCTGAGCTAAAAAGGATAGACACCTCCAACTATCTCAGAATTTTATCTGTTTCTTTCCCTCTGTATTGGCTCCTTTAAGTTCTAGGTCACTCATTCATTTGATCAGTTATTTCAGACAAAACTATTTTTCTTCACTCCAGTCTAATAGTTATTGAGAACCACTGAATTTCATGTATACAACAACTTTCTGTTAACACAATGTATTCAGCCAAGTAGGATATTGGATAAGAAACACTAAGGAAATCTTTCATATTCACCACAAATATTCTAACTGGAATACAGAAAATCTATGAAGGTATATTAAAAAAAAAGCTGTATCTCTTTTTTTAAAGATTTATTTATTTATTTGTGTATTTATTTATTTGAGAAAGAGAGAGAGAAAGGGGAGGGGCAGAGGGAGAGGAAGAGAGAGTATTAAGCCAACTCTGCACTGAGCATGGAGCCTGATGCAGGGCTTGGTCTCAGGGCCCTGAGATCACAACCTGAGCTGAAACCAAGAGTTGGGTACTTAACCGATCACCCAGGTGCCCTGAGAAGCTGTATCTCTTAACTCACTATGCATTCTGGCCCTTGAGGTCAATTAGAATCAAGCCAAAAGTCATCAACCTTCAGAAAACTAACATCTATTTTCCTACCCAGACATGGTTGCCCCTAGAAATCAAGGACTATTCTGACAAAACCTTACCTTCAAAGCACAGCCCTTGGACCATAGCCTTCTTGTCTGAAGAGTCTTGTTTCAGGGATTTACTGGTATCATTCACTCCCAAGAGTTCCCAAGAAGTAATCTTCTGGGGGGAAAATGAGAAATGCCACTTCTAGTGAAAAAGGTTAATCAGCTGGATGCTGGGAAGTTATTCTTTGGTACTCTTTCATATTGATTTTATTTGGAAGCTGCTTCTTACTCACACAGCTCTGAGACTATAGCTACCTGAACCATAACTCTATACATTTCAACATTAGCGCATTGTATCAGAGTCCTTCTCTCCTGTGCATTTCCAAGACTGACTCGATTGCTTGAATCCCACTGAAAATTATGCCTTTTTTTCCCCCATCATTTATCATTTTCTGCTTAGTTGGCCAGGTTATTTACAAAATCACTTAAAATAATCTACTCATATATCTATACTCAATAAAAGTTCATTGAGAACCTATTCTATGCCCGGCAATCCATAGGTACTTATATCACAAAAATAAAATAAAAATGTCAGGTCATAAGAAATTAAAAGTGCATTTGATTAATCAAACATAGAAAGAAAGACCTGAGAAGCAATTTAGTAAATGGTCTTGTAGAAGTTGGTTCAGTTTTAGGAGTGGTCGTTGAGAAAGTCCCGCATTTAGTAAGGCCTGTTATGACCCACAGATACAACTCCCAATTACTGTGCCCACTATTATCTGGATCTTGGGCGGGTTTTTAATGATATTTAGTTACAACCAAATGTCATCAATCTTAAGAAGAGCAAGATCTATCAACTGCTATGCATCGTGGGCTTTGTTTTTTTCCCAGTAAACATGCAGTTCCATGATAATATATTCATACCTGCAAGGGTCCAGAAGACCACAAGTAGCAATGGAGAACCACCGACTTAAAATTAATTTGTCATTTCACTCTCTGGAGATGGCATTCAAGAAAGGCAAAGGCATAGAGAGTTTCTCTTCCTTTCTAGGATCCATCATTACCTGGCAGGGAAAAAAAAGAGGAAAAATAACATTTTAAGAAAAAATATGCAGATATAAATATAAATGTACCTATATACACAGTTGTGCATGTAATCAAATTTAACAATAAAATATTCACAAATTGTGCATATCCTGCTATACAGATTACAAAGGGTGGATATTGCTAAGTCCTTGTGTGTCATGTGCACACCTTCAAATGTGCATTGCTCTCCCTTCCCCTGAGATCCAATACACCCAAAAAGTGGCTGGCTAATAATTATTTTAGCAAAGTAAAATATTCTTATTCTATTAAGACTACATGTTATAAAACACTTTTACTTTTATATATACATCAATAAAAATATGGTTTCTCTATTACTATCTGGTGAAGTCCAAGGGAGGCTCCCAACAATTCCATTTGCAAAAGAAAATTGTTTCTAGCTTATATTTATCAATTTTTACAAGACCATCTTCAGAAGAAAATATACACATCAATAATATATAAATATTTGGAAAGATTGGATTAAACTAAATTACTCTTTTATAACAACAGTCTAATATTTGCCCCAAAGCAATAATCTAGTGAAATGGTACATTCTTGTGTAATAATTACAAGAGTCTTAACCATTCTTCATTTAAAATAATTCATAAATACAATATTTTTATCTATGATTTTGAAGAAAGCATAAATCATCAGTATAACAATATAGTATAGCAATAGAGTGTAGATGTGATAAAATGAAGAACACATTTGATTACTATATTCAGAGTATCCTCAAAACTGCACAGAACAATGGTTTACATGTTATTTACTGATCTCAAATTCACTGATTACTCAGTGAAAAAGAACTGTGTGTATCTGAAAGCAATATCCTAAAAATGTCTTTCTGAAGTCATCTGCAGAACATCATATCACAAAGTTAATCAAATATATTTAGGCTTTCTTCTTTTATCATGTCAATCATTAAAATATCTTGAAATACTAGATTTATATAAAGGTGTAAAATATTAACCTTTATATTAAAGAAAAACTAAGCAAAAACCATAATTGTTAAAAAGTATACTTGTCTTTTGAATATAGACACATTGATACAATACCATTGCCTTTTTAATTTCATTTCCTGCCTGCTGACAAATTTAGAAACATTTATCATAATGTAGTATCTTTTAATTCTATTTTCAAATATATTTTCCCCAAAATAATCTTAGCTAAGATTTCAACAACAGATATTTTAAAGATCCACATATTTCATAATGCATTGGCATATATGAGAGTAGTTCTAGTAAATTTGTTTCCAATAGAACTTTGGCTCCTGCTGAACAAAAGTTTATAAATCTCAGGAGCCAAAGGAATGGTATATCATTGTGCTTACATAATTCTCTGTTCTCAGAGTAAATTTGGTTCTGAAGATTGCTGTTGGCAAATATGTAGATGTGGACCTTTGGGTTTTCTGAAAGTCCCAGTGAAAGACAATCAGCCTTTCCCTTCAAAAGAACCACACAGACACAGTTCTTCAGAAAATATTTAAGATCTAAGTTAGGATAATGTATTCTGGAAGACAAGGATTTAAGTGAGTCTAAATGGGAAAAGAAACACAATATTCTAAAATCACTGTCTCTGCAAAACCTGCTACTACTGAGGAAATCTTGACAAACTGTAGCAACTGCTCTAGCTTCCATCACATCTGACTCTTGGAGTTAGATGGCAGAAATAGATTTTCTTTAGACTTGTATGAGAGTGTTTGTCAACCTATTATCATCATCATCATCAGCAGCAGCAGCAGCAGCAGCTGCGTGGATATCTTTTTTAGGCATTTCCCCCTAGTTTTCACACCCTCAAATTTTAATACCACAGATATGCTGTATATCTGCTTATGTATGGTGGCTGTTTGGAGGGCCATGATCCACTGTAATATATAAGATTTCTTTTGCTCCCAAGAACTAACTTTCACCTCAGAAGTATGACATCAACTATCTTGAGAATCATGGTGTACAGTAATTTGAGAAAAATAACTAAACAGGTAGGGAGTGCATACAGTCTTCCAGCTTGTCATGAAATGTGTTTAGAGTAGTTTCTTATTCTCTTCTAATGCTCATACTCAACAGGACACGCTACTGAGGGTGCAGGGATGTTCTCTGTCACATACCTTACTTTGGCCCAATATCATCTTCATGCCTGAAAAGAACTATGCCTTTATGCTTTGGTCTAAACACGGAAATGCCAAAAATCCTAGAATCCACAGGAATGGAAAACATGGAGGACTCACCATATCATTAATGTATTTATCTAATGTTGAGATTACAAAGGGTCTTCTAAAATAGATTAAATTATTGACTAGTTAAAACAAACATTGGCTAGAAATATAGATAAATTTGAATGGGTGTGACTGTAGTGTAAAGGGACCTTCTGGAAGCCTCACAGAGATAAGCACTGATATTGATGGGAATCTAAATATCAGTGGCACATTGCTGAGTCTTAAGTGCAACTAAAACCTTGGATTCCTCCATATCCATTTCCCTCAAGAAAACACGAGACAAATAATATTTCTGATGGAATCTACAGAATCAATAGTGATGCCCCTCTTTCATTCCTAACTTTAGTGATTTATATCTTCTTTGTTTCTTGTTCAGTCTAACTAAAGGCTTGTCAGTTCCATTAACCTTTGCAGAAATCTAACTTTTGGTCTCATGAGTTTTCCTTATAGTTATTTTGGATTTTATTTTTATTTCATTGACTTTGCTCAAATCTTTATTATTTACTTCCTCGTACTTGATTTTCTAGTTGAGTCCTTTTCTTATTTCTTAAGGTAGGAGTTTAGTATATATTTTGAATTATGTATATATTTATATTTAAGTAGGCTCCATGCCCAGCATGGAGCCCAATGTGGGGCTTGAACTTAAGACCCTGAGATCAAGAGCCGAGCTGAAATTAAGAGTCAGATGATCAACTGACTGAGCCACCAGGGGCCCTTCTCTTGATAATTTTGTGTTATTACTATTTATCCTATGGTTTACAAAATAGATCTTAAATTACCACAATCTATTTCAGGGTAACACTAACTTTGTTATATGGCCTTTATATGTCTTGAACTCAATTTCAGAGAAGTGTTTCTGTCAGTCATGTTCTCCATGTTTTCAAACAAAAAATTATTGATGTCATCATTGACCCAAGCATGTTTATAAGTGACTGACAGCCTGAAATATGTGATAGACACTAAACACTAAGGATTTTTTTTAAAGATTTTATTTTATTTATTTGAGAGAGAGAGAGAGTACAAGAGGGGGTAGGGTCTGGGGCGCCTGGGTGGCTCAGATGGTTAAGCGTCTGCCTTCGGCTCAGTGCATGATCCCAGGGTCCTGGGATCGAGCCCCGCATCGGGCTCCCTGCTCTGCGGGAGGCCTGCTTCTCCCTCTCCTACTACTGCTCCCCCTGCTTGTGCTCTCTCGCTCTCTCTGTCAAATAAATAAATAAAATCTTAAAAAAAAAAAAGAGGGGGTAGGGTCAGAGGGAGGAGCAGACTCCCCGCCAAGCAGGGAGCCTGATACGGGACTTGACCTCGGGACTCTGGGATCATGACCCAAGCCGAAGGCAGTCGCCTAACCAACTGAGCCACCCAGGCACCACAAAACGCTAAGGATTTTGTGACCATTGGACACTACGATCACATTTTGAAGTCAGGGAGAACAGCAAACACAATCAATGGCTGACTAGCATAGGTAGACTCTTACTGTCATTTGGAGCATTTTAATTCCATGAAAAAATTTCAGTATTCTTGGGACAAAATGCATACCTGTTTAATTCTCATATATTTGTTTCGCTTACAAGAGAAAAGTAAATCCATAATCTCTTTGGATTTTTGACCATCTAATAGCTGCCAAGAGACCAATCATCACTGAGAAGATTCCAGCAGCACAGACAAATGTGTAAATGGTTCATGTGTAGGCAGAACCATTTCTCAAATTTTCAGTACTCATGTGATAATTCCCCAGGTCACTTTACTACAAGTGTATTTAGGCTGCCAGCTATGCACTAAAATAGACAGTTTCACCCCCAGATTGGATATATATAGATCACAGTGCAATTCAATTCCTCTAATGCATGCAAATGGCTTAGCCTTCACTTTTTTTTGGTTTTGTTTTGTTTTCATTTACAGATATTTAAATTCTAGTTGGTTAACATATAGTTCAATATTGGTTTCAGGAATAGAATTTAGTGATTCATCACTTAGATATAACACCCAGTTCTAAATACAAAAAATGCCTTCCTTAATACCCATTATCCATTTTGCCCATCCCCCAGCCACCTCCCTTCCATCAACCCTCAGCTTCTTCTGTATGATAAAGAGTCTCTTGAGGTGCAGGGAATATGGCAGAGGAGTAGTGGACCCTGTTTTATCTGGTCCCTTGAATTCAGCTACATATCTATCAAATCATTCACCTGTGAATTCAACCTGAGATCTAAGAAAAGAATTTCTGTAATTCTACAAATAGAAAAGCAACCACTAGTTGCAAGGTAGGAGGTGTGGAGAAGTGAATTGGAGGGGATATGCTGGAAGATAAACTGCCATGGGGAGGGAGCCTATGTAAGCCAGCTACCAGAAAAAGATATAGCAGCGGTGTGCAAAATTGGAACTTTTAGAAGTCTGCTCCTGTGAGGGATGTCCATGCCAGAAAGGTGCTCAGGAGGTAAAGAGGGGCAGAATCCCAGGTGGGACAGTATTGACTCAGGTCCCTGGAGTCACAGAAAGAACAGGGGTATCTGAGTGCAGCAGAGTTCCCAAGCATTGGAGCGGGGAAGCCAGCTATGATCACTGAGCCCAGGAGTGGGCTCTCAGATCAGTGTTGTCACAGACCACAAACTGTGGCACAATTGGGTGGCCGCTATCTGAGCAGGAGCCCAGCAAGTGGCAGGACACCAGTGAGACCTTCCTCATTCCCCTGGGAAGATAAGTGCAGGTGTGCACTGCAGGACTCTGTAGACTTTGGGGAACACAAAAGTGACTGACTGCTTTTGCCAGAGG